AGCTTTTTGGATCAATGCCAAAAACCCTACAATGAATAGCAGGGACGAATGCCCGGAGGTCATACGCGACCTGATCCCGTACGTTCGCATCGATTTTTGATGTGCGATGGTGCAGTCGTCAACCACATGCGACTATAATCAGCTGTTCTAAACTTCCTCATTGGAAGTCACGAAAAAGCGGTGGGTTTTTCGAGAAGTTGTTGATCGTGTAATAACCAAAGAGTCTTTCGTCTTTTTGTAAGTGTTATTGAAGCGTTTGGCCTAGTAGATTGTATATCAGTATACCCTTCCAGGCTCTGAAGAAGGCGATACTGCCCAAACCTCAGCTAGCGTTGTATTGTATTGTGTTTTTATGGAAGTAAATGTATGCTGTTTAAAAACCTCGCGATTGCTGAACAAGAAAACGACACTCACATATTACAGTAAAATAAAGTGGTGCGGAAACAGAGTAGTGATTAGTGATGCCGTGAATAGTTCAATACCCGCCCTCACCCTCTTTTCCAGTCCACATGGTAACGCAGCCCTGCTATCTCCAAGATTTCAAGGAGGGTCAACTCGGCCAGCATTCTAAAATTTTCATAAAGAAAACAAAACACTCAAGCAGCAGCTGAAACAACACGGGGGATGTTCGAAGAGAATTGTGAATGTTGGATGCGAGGAAACGAATCGAATGCAAGAATTGCTGGGATTCGCACAGTAGATGTGATTACAGATCATGTAAAAAAAAATTGCAGTAAACCATAGTTTCTTATAGAGAAGCACCATTGTGAATTCTCTCATGCTTTCTAATTTAAAGTACAAATTGAAAGACTGAAATTGTAAAAAGTTCAAAACCACGCCTTATTTTGTCAGAATAGAACTTATACTGATAATTCAAAAAGTTTGGAATCCTAATAGTCCTCAGGCGGTCGGATAACTAAAAAGTACCCGGCCTAGCTCCGGTGCGCTGGCTGTGAATGTTTACCTACACAATCGAAGATGTATTCACATCTGTCATTTACAAGAACAAGTCATAGCTTCTTCTACAACCTTCGAACACGGTCCAGTTTTTCTTTGAATGTCTCAACTTTTGCTTGCTGCCTATTCAAAGAAAAAATAGTAAATGAAAGCTAAGATATTGTGATTTGTGATTGGCTTCAATGCCGATCTGTGCTCAAATGATCATTCTCACTGACGAGTGATGGTTAATAGTTCTAGTAGTGTAAAAAAAAAAGTAAAAAAAAACGGGCTGAGAGAAAGGCTAAGTAGTGGCCTCGGTCGATTTATTGGGTAGTGCCTGAGCCTTCATAGGAGTAATGACGGTTCCGAAGCCCAAATGAGACTTAGTGTGTTGCATTTATCTGAGTGTGATTGCCATTGAATAGTCCCAAATGTGTACACATGTTATACTTTGTTTGGTTACCTCTTATCTTTCTGTCAGGATAAATTACTGGTTTATTTATTGTTGGTTCATTGTTTCAGGTTCATTTATGTTTCTAGGTCTTTAAAGCGAAGAGTTGGTTGCATGTACGTTAAGATTTTTGTTACTGCAATTACCGTATTTCTTTTTAAACAGTTTCGCAGAACTATTTGTAATTGAAGTTTATTTAGACTTGCACCGGAGAAATGTGTGTGCGTAAAAAAACACAAAGAAGCGCAAAAGAAAATCTCAAGTTAGGGTCACCCGCTAGCACAGCACGATCGCAGCAAGAAAAAGAGAAACAGGAAAAGAATCAGGAAGGGGCAAAAACTGCTATGAAAAAAGCGAAAGAGATCAATAACGACGAGAACATGCTTGCCAAACCATTAGCCAAAGTATGTTTATTCACAATGTATTTCCTAAGTATAGTTTCAAATTCCATTTGTTTAAATTCGCCGGTTATTCATCGAAGATTGGTCTTTCTCTTAAATATTTTTTGCTTGTAAGTTCCAGGACTAAATGAAGGAACTGCTAAGCGTAATTGATTATGGGTTTACCGCATTCATAGACGGTATGCGTTAATACTTACCATGTCTGTGATTGGTCACTTAAAGTGTTTGCTAAAGTATAGAGATGCGGAAGGGACATCAAAAGACATTCCACATTTTCTTTTCTTTGCACATTGTTTCTGAGCTTTATTACTTTTACTCAACTAAATGACGATTGCACAAGATAACAATTTGGCCCACAGGGATTCCGCAACGGGGAGATCCACCCGACTTGATTTTAAACCATTGCAGGGTCACTGATTTGTACTAAGGTGTCGTGAGTAGTTCGACTTCAGCGACGCTTGTTTTTGCTTCACTGACTGGCACTTATTTTTGTTGAAATACCATACTGCGGTCCTTCTATGTCTCCAGGGAATGATCACCTTATTGAGAACATCGTTTTCGTCGTCGATCACAGGAGGCACAATCCTAATACCACGACCATTTCGTGATTCCAAAGAAAATCGTGCTACATCATCACAATGTTCGTTAACGAGGAGGCAGATAGTAGATCTTTAACCCATAATCGAACCGATTCGCGAAATCAACCACCATCGACCACTATAGTTACGAGAATGAAACGAATGAAAGATAACTTACTTTTTTTGATAACCAAACACGTGGTTGTTATTGTAAGTTTTATTCACTTACAATAGCAGTCGTCTTGGCAGGTTCGATTTCTTCAAAACCTGGAAGAGTCAAACTGATACTAGGAAAGATACACCGTAATTGAAAGATATACTAGGACCTGCATGCACAAGATGTGAAGACAGGTCATCCAAGCATCGAAGTAATTAAGTTCAGTTGTAGTATTCCCCTGATATGAGTACAAAACATCTTCAACATGAGGAGTATCTTAATGATTTCCAGCGATTTCCAGCGATTCCCAGCAGTTGCGTGCTAGCTTTCACCTTAATCCATCAGTTAACAATACTGGACCTCAAGCACTTATCTGATCGGGCAAATGTGAAAGCTGTTCCAAGATTTCCAGCGAAACGCTAACGTCGACGTCGTATTCTGTACTAATTCTTTCATAATATTTCCACGGTTTCGTTTAGTGTTCATTATACGGAAGTGAAATAAATTTCGTCCTATATCATCCGTTCTCCTTGCCTTTGTAAAGTCTTGGGATCATCTGGACAGTTCTAAATGAAGCTTCATGAATTCATTTAATAGCTACGACAGACTCCGCTTTCCGCTAGGCACACAATAAGTTGTTGATGAGAGCTACAGCTCAGTAAATAGCCAACAACAGCCTCTTAAAGATGGACTTATAAAAATCCAGTAGGAAGTATTAAAGCTAGGAATAAAATAAAACGTTAACCTGTGAGCTGGAGAAAATGAAAACTGAGACGCGATTAAATTAAGCCCTTGTACTTCTGACCCAGTCTATAATCTCTCTCATAATTTCCAGTCTTTACCGCTCAGAAAACTTGCGTCACTTAATTGTTCCGCGACTATGGCTCTATACTTTATCGTCTGCAAATACATGATGTATTGGTCATACATATATCTTGATGATGTGACCACCTTTGCTCTTTCTTATTAAAATAGGTGATCAGATGAACGAATTGGATGAAGAATATGCAAAAGTATGCCCTTTTGCCCATCACCATCCATCAGTTGTCCAGTATGATGTAATTATCTAGTGGCTCAGAAAATTACAAATATAACTCGAAAGACCGACTTTCTATAAACCTCGGCATAGATAGTTGATATATTTATTTATGTGATCTTATAAACTGATCTTCTTAAGCTGACGCGAGGTTGGTACAGATCTTCGTTGTCGTTGTCGTTGTTTTTGAAGTTATTGAACGATGGCTGACGTTTCGGCGACTTCGCCTTCCTCAGAGCCTGGACGTACTTTATGTTAGAATACTTTTTATTATTCGGTGGAAAAGAATTACAAATATATTTTGTTGCAGTAAAGACGTGGGTAGTGCATTCGTTACAGGAATCACAGAAATAGTCATCTGTTCGATCGGGCAACTTAAGCAAATCGAACCCATACGTGGTCATGGTAAATTAGTAGCAATGTGTCTGGAAGGATAGGAACACTGGATTAATACATCGGTGCAACCTCATAAGCTATTGAAAGGACCAAGCATCAGTTCATTAACTCCGGCGATGTTTATTGGAGCCAAATGCACGGCCCTTTGCAATGCAAAAGATTGACCAACGCCGAGTGTTTTACCTCTCATTATTTAGTTGGATTCTTAAACAACAACTTAATTAGAGGAGTCATCAATTCTAATAGTTTCCTAATAGCCTATAAAGAGAAACCGATTAGAAAGAACCAGTCAACATCGTCGAAATGGAATTTGAAATAAAATCTGGAAGAAGAGCGCTAGCACTTAAAGTCTCTAGCTATACTTTTCTTTGACTTTCTGGTGGTCTTATCAATTCTTCGTCAGTACTGTATCACTTTAGCCTTGAAGCATTTCATACAGTACTACCATACTTTTCAGAGCCCAGTTGGTGCGTTGCTCGGAATTCCATCCCGAATTGAGTTGCTTATTTTCTACTTACCTATTATACTCTTATTCTCTTAATGGCTTCATGAATGCCATATTGACATTAATATACTTCTTAGCTAATCTTGATGAATAGTTCAACATGCGATTTTTTTTCAGAAGAAAAGAAGAAGGAGCCCCTTCATATAAAAGTTCCGCCGCCACGGGTCATGTTAGTATATTTGATTGGTTTTAGATTAAAAAATACGCCATCTAGATCCTTTCCCGTAAATTTAGTCCTCGTTATTGTTCAAGGGTTTCAACGTAAAAAGAGTGATTTAAAGGATTTCCTACAGCTAGCTATGGTTTCACCGTTAGTTATTATAATGATCATTGGATCACCTAAACAAGGACAACGACTCAATGGTGCATTCGTTGGTGTTTTTAAAGGATCAGTGGGTCCGGAAAGCGTTGAAGAGTGCACTAAAAGCATAGTATTGTCTTACCGCGCAATAAGATAACCATGCCTCTCAGCATTCTGTGCTTGGGAAGTTGGTACCAGACTTCTCTATGGAAAGGTCCCATTGACCCCTTATGCGATTAATCTGAGTACGCGCCGTCTGTCCTGACAACCGACTTAGCATGAACGAGATCGTAGGAAGCTACCTAAGCGGAGAAAAAGTTTGCTTAAGCTATTGGTGGAGTAGGAATGTATCGAATAAAAGAATTTTTGAATATGACAATTCGAAAAGTTTTCCTCTTTCTTTCTTAGGAAAGCAAAGCGACCAATGGAAAAGGTCCGATCGTCACGTGATCCTGAATACAAGACGCTGGAGTTGGATATCAGTGAATGGGAAAGCGTAAAAATTATGAAACGAAGTGAAATCAATCCAGAAGACTTTGTGAAGAAAGACTGCAAGGTCGATGGCAAGTTCTATCTTAATTCGTTCTCCCGATCAATCGATGTGCACCTATAACATAGCGACCATCTTTTCGCATGATTCGTGATTACTTCAAAAATCACTTGTTGTGTTGCCTATTTCAAAAACCGACTTTCCCTTGACCTCGTTATGACTAGTCAAGGTTTATTCCTTCATTGATAAGCTAACACGAGGTTGATAAATAAACTGTTCGGCTAACTCTTCCTCTGAGGAAGGAAGACGAAGGCATCGAAACTGTTCATGAACCTCATGTTAGTCCGGAGTTTTGTAATTATCTCAACATCATTGCGGTTATATTTTTTATCATACCCTATCAAAGGGCGCAGTGGTGGGAGGCGCCCTGCAACAGACTCGTGGAATCGATTCTAGCGCCCATGACCCACGAAGCCTTCCATCTCTCCGGGTTCGACAAATTGGTACTAAACTTGTCTGGGAAGATAGCAGCACGCGAGTCATTGTAAAAGTCAGATATGCATTCAATCACCTCTAAACGACCTTATGAAGTCCATTGCATGGCGCATCCAGAAATTGATCAACGCCGAAAGCTTTATTCTTCATCTTCTACCCTGCCATGAAAAAAAGAATGGGCAGTAAGTAAGAATTCTACACTGTGGCTTATGCAGTCTTTATTTTTATTTTTATTTCGAGTTACTTATTAACAGTACCATCATGCTACGACGAATACAGATGTGTTTGAGGAAATTTGATTATCGCCTTCACTGTGAACCATTGTGATAATCTTCCACGAATGTGGAACTGAAAGTGATCATAGCAGTTTACAAGGTCATTAAAAACATGCCTATCGATTGATCGGATAATTTAAATACCAGACATACATCCTAAGCTGATGTCAGTGTTGTTATCTAAACTATCATCGACTTTCTTTTCCCAATCGGAGAAGTCTGCTTGTTCTCAAATAGTCGTCTTTTTTTGATAGTGTTTTTTTTTCAGGCATCGTCATCACCGGCTCCAATGGGTGGGAAATGCTAGCTTTTCTGCTCCATTTAAAAAGTATTTTATGTTGAACAACATAAATTCGGATTTCACAACAGCATTTAAGTAAATAGTTGTCTCAAACAAGCTGAAATTAGAAAACTGGCAAAACTAAGAAGTAGTGAGCTAAAAATTGTTCTTTATGCATTGACAATTCGAGGTTGGTAAATTGGTATCAAACTTGGCCAGTGTAATCAAAAGCACTGAGTTGATACATCGGTAGGCTCCCCAAATCATTTCGTGGTATTCCTGCTGGAGCTTAGCTTTTCCAGAGCTAACAAGGGAGCAAACGCACCTTTGTGTATTGTAGAGTGCATCTAATCCTTTGTACTACACGGCGCTTTACCTTCACTATAAGCTGGATTATGTTTATTTCATTTCATGCTGTTCAAATCCGGGATAAGTTTTTTATTCTCTTCCTCAACACCTCATCTGTTACTCACACTAATTCACCATCTAATTGAGTCCTCATGCTTTGCAAAGCGGGTTTTCTTTTCACTTGCTCATAAGCCAAGTCTTCTTTGAATAAAATCTACTACATATAAGGTGTATTAAATCAAATAAAGAATTAAATGGACGCTTAGTCAAACGTCACAAGGCCATTTGCTCTTTGAGTTATAAGCTTGCTTTTAATTCCAGTGAAGTTGAAACTGAAGTGGTTTTTTAAAGAAAATATCACAGCTGAACCAAAAAATTTACGTTGTTCCCAAGCCTCTCAAAAATCTGATTTTTTATGACAAAGGAACTTAGCAATCCGTTTTGTAATATTTTCAGGTGAAAGGGAGAAGCATGACATCACAGCTCACGCATGATTTCAGTCTAAGCGATTCCTTCATATTCAGCAAAATAAATGTGGTCACAAGAGAGTGTTCTAGCTTTCTTTTTCTTCCGAAACGTGAATTTACTGTGAACGATTTCAGTAAGGCAGTCTCCTTCAGTCTCATTCCGCTAATCCATTACAAATTTTCGTCCTTTTACTAACTTTAACCGATGATTACCGTAACAGTATGATGGATTTCAATTTCAAGATGAGAGGAAATTCGACTGAAATCGTAATGTCGTGAATGACTATTAAGTATACTAAAAAGCGTGAGCGTTAATGATTTGGAGTTGGTATATTCATCAAAGGACGCGTATGGCACAGTGGTCCGTGGCGCCTTGCAACATACACACTCACGTGGAATCGATCCCCACGTCCATGGCTCACCAAGCCTTCCATCCCTCCGGGGTCGGCAAATTTGTACCTGACTTGTCTGGGAGGATAGCAGCACCGGTTTGATACATCGGTAGGCAACCGTGAGTCAGTGTAAAGACCAGATATGCATTCAATCACCTCCAAGCGATCCTTAATAAAGTCGAATGCATGACGCATCCCTCAGGAAATGATCAACGCCGTGAGCTTTATCCTTTATCCTTATCGCGTCTGTTAGCAATCATTCAACGAGAATGATCGATTAAGCGCAGATCAGCATTGAAGCCAGTTGGGCTGAAGTTGCAGTCGAAATCACGATATCTTTGCTTTTATCTACTACTTTTTCTTTGAATAGGCAATAAATAAAGGTTGAGGTATTCAATGAAAAATTAAATTGTGTCCGATGATTGTAGAAGAAGCTATGAGTTGCTCCTGGAAATGATTGTTTGCTCAACGAGAATATAGACAACTACCTCTTTTTTGGTTTTCTACAGTAATGTGTGTGTAGTGCTGAGGTTGAAGGTGTCCCATAGCATAAACATACCGGTACTTCCAACTGCATCTCACGATAATTACACCTCCTATCCTTCTGAGGTCAGCAAACAAATGCCATACTTCAAAAGAACGACTTTCTTCGAACCTCTGCATAAATAGTTGATATTTTTATTAATATGATCTCATAAACTAATCTTTTTGAGCTGATGCGAGGTTGGTGTACGTCATAGTTGTCGCTGTTGGTCAGTGGCTGATATTTCGGCGATTTCACTTTCCTCAGAGCCTGAAAGTATTTTGTGTAACAGTAGTCTTATATTCGGTGGAATACCCGGTATATTAATAAAGACTAAACTTTCAAATAAACGACATGTTGATCAAAAAACTAACTCGCCCTGATGTTACGAGTGGGACCGCCCCACGCGTTGTTCACGTGGGATGCCGACGAGACCCACCCAGGTGTCAAAATATTATTTTGAAACAAGGTACCAGGTCACGTTTGTTAGTGAGGTATTCGTCTTTCCGGTTCATCTTTGGATTTTCGAAATTGGTCCAAAACGCCTCAAGTATAGAGAATTCCTCTATCAGATAGAGGATTCTGTATCTACCTAACAAACACATTCTACAAGTCGATAGAGATTGCATTTGCCACAACGCCCGCTTGCGTGCCCTACATCCACATCCTATTCTAGCAATCGGGCACGACACTAGACACAGCATCTTGTAGCCATCAGTCACACCACCAGGCATGCTATTGGGTACGTCTCATTGCTTGGGGACTAGGCCCCGCGACCCGAGCCTTGACCATACGACCAACGGCACTCGCTTGGACGTAGCCACGCCCACTAGCACCGTCATTGGGCTTCTAACGACGCTATGGAGATCGCCGTTGCCATTGCATCATCATTACAATCTCGTTTAATCCTTTTTTACAAATTCACTTGTTTAGGCTGTAGTGATATTAACTAACCTCCCAACGGTTTACCGCCTCATCGTCGCTGGGAGGTGTTCCTGGGTGTCGGGCTACGATGTACACCGGGGGGATTCGTCAACCCGGCAGGGTCTCGCAAGCTGAGAGGAGTTCGGCGTTTCCAACAGGAAGCTTAGCTAAGAGTAACCAATACCAGAATCCGCCATCGTCCTGGTGGCAAAGTTGCATGGTGGCAAATCTCCCTCCGATCCACAAGGGCGACGACTACCTTCGGTGGTGAAGACCTGGAGTGGATTTTGGCCAGGTTGTCCTCGGCATTCCAGGGAACCACAATGGCTTAGCCAGCAAATCTCCGAAAAATGGATGGTGATTATGCAAGGGCCCGCACAACTAATGAGGAAAGGCCGTCCAAGTATCAAGTAAATGAGATGTTAACTAAAATCCTTAGCTCTTGCATTAATAATACATTACTAACTCCCACGACCGACTTTCTATTAACCTCGGCATTGATTAAGGCTCGGGTCGCAGGGTCTAGTCACCGAGCAATGAGACGTACCCAATAGCATGTCTGGTGGTGTGACTGATGGCTACAAGATGCTGTGTCTAGTGGCGTGCCCAATGGCTAGAATGGGATATGGATGTGGGCCACGCACGCCGCGTTGTGGCAAATGCAGTTTTTACCAACTTATAGAATGTGTTTGTTAGTAGATAGAGAATTCTCTACCTGATAGAGGATTTCCCTATAGATTTTATATTTGGGAAGAAATGTCTTCGTATGCACTGTGAATGAGTATTTTTCTCGTCCACCTGCAACTCCTTTGATCCTACGACCGGGTCTAATTCTAGTTTCGCTTCCTGTATCATCTAGGATATCAGAAACATGCCTTCTATTGCCTTGAATCGTTACATTTCACAAGAAATCGTACAAATGCTATCTTGGTAGTTTTTTTCTTTGAATCATTCGTTCTTAAGCATACTGCGCGGATCCCACTACTTTTTCGATCGGATTCGCTTCTTCGCGTCTACCGTTTGGTTTGGGAATGCCTTCGGTTGCACGTATAGGTTCGGTTCCGGTTTGAGGATTTCTGATTCTCCTAATGAATGTAGTTGAATTCTGGTCGAACCGTTTCTTGATATCCCAGGGCGGCCGTGCTAAGTGTAAGTGATCTCATGGACTCATGGAGCTTACCAAACAGGTTTGCTAATAATTCCTTAACACGTGATGGATGGAAGGCTTGGTTGATTCTTTTTAATTGGTTATAACCAAGATCTTGCATGATTTCGGCGCCTTTCTAAGATTAGGATTGATCAAGTCGATTGTCCAGAGCCGTTCGTCCTTGCCATGTGGGTTTTCGTAGTTGCATCCAGCCGAATCTTCTGAAGTGGAATCTGCTGAAAGTATTGACAGGATGCAACGGTAAGTCATCG